ATATATAAATATATATAGCCTATATACTGTATTCTGTTGAAGACATGGTCTCAATACACTGGATTTTTTTGTATAAAACCATGGGGACAGCCAGTTCCCTTCCTGAGTCAGCCCAGTTTACGGTATATTTATAAAGTGTTATTTGCATGCGTGTGTAAAAGTTGGATGACTACATGTTACTTAATTTAACGAAGGTCACTGCAAACTAAAGTTCTGTCTCGTTTTCTTTCATGTTGTTAGTCTAATGCAGGTACATAATATAATATCAATAATAATATTAATAATAATGAAAGTAATAATAATATAATGATAACAATAGGCCTACATAAATAACAATAATTCAAACATTTTTTATAAATCATAAGAGATTGACACTCCTAAAATATTACAAAGTTAACATATTTTCATCAACGCCACACTATAACGTACACCCAAGAAACACAGCTCTACAACCACCGTGGTGCCACTGACTGTAGTGTCTCTAGGCCATTCCCAAAGGGGGGACATTTCTTCTTCATGCACAGTAGAATTGTAAATGGGCTGATTCATCATGTCCCGCTCATAACTGTGCCTGATCTACAACAGGGAACTGCTGCTTTTTCTTTCCCAATCCTTACTATTGTCATTTTCCTCTACTTCTTTTGTGTGTTTGTCACTCTCTTGTGACCTGCTATTTCCGGGGTGCCTTGATAGTCGAAGCAGACCTTGTGCTGTTGAAGCTAGAGAGGTGAGCAGAGTAAGCCTGATTCCCTGTAAAAGACTTCACTGTTGACACCCACCCCTTGTTATTATAATAAGGGTGCGCCCGTCATGAGATGGTCTCAAGACCATCTGAACGCGATCTCAAGATGATCTCTGACTTTGAGAATGAGATCGCGCACGACCAAAATCCGGATTGCTCAATTAAAAATCTCAACCTTCCGTGACATCGCTTGAATTCAGAAGGATCCAGAAAGTTATCTGTTGGATAGCAAATCGGGGTACAGTCCGTGCCGGCTTTAAGCACGCCGGCCTTAAGCACGTTTCGGACTCAAGCACGCTAAATGGCTCTTACCGAATTTTTGCTATATAAATTACACGCCTATAAGCACGGTAACTTCGGCTTCAAGCACGCTTCATTTACAAGACAGTCAATATTTTCATGATGACCCATCGAAGTTCGAACACAGTTTACACCGCAGCAGTGGAGTGTGTCTAGAGAAACACAAAGAACGCAAGTGATGGACACACACACTCACACGGGCGGAGAGGAAGGCAGAGAGATGCACACAGCCGTGCGCGCGGACATAGGATCTAGCCTAGGCCTAGGGCAAAGCTACACACGACCAAAAAAAAAATACAAAGAGAGTCGGGGCCGGGGAGACAAGAAAGGGAGGCTGGCTGCGATTTCACCTTTGACCCTCGCTATCCATTAATCCTGATTGTGTATCACGCGCGAGGTGGGATGAAGGCGGTGGTATGAGTGGGACAGCGGGCAGTGGTACGCACAGGCAGTGTGTTACAGTACAGTAGGCCTAGTGTCCTGTATCGTGACTGGCCGTCTAAATTAAGTTTTCATTTCTCATTCGACCACAAAACAAAAACAAACAAGCGAACAAAAACTACCATGGCGGGTGTCTAAATAACAGTGCACACTTTTGTGGGACCGCTATAGGCCTACTCACAAACAAAGGGAAATAGCACGGGGAATTTTCTACATGAAAATCTCTGGATTATGTCTACTTCGCACTTTAGCACGCTTCGGCTTTAAGCACGCTTAAGCTTTCTCCTGATGACCGTGCGTAAAGCCGGCATGGACTGTACTATTTGTGTAGCAGCGCTGGAAGTGGTGGGTGACTTGTCTTAAAATGGAGTCATGAACATGAACTGGAGACTAAACCTATGAAACAGAGATACAAACTGAAACAGTAATGAGTGTTTATGGAAAATTATAGAATCTTCTAAAGTAAAGACTATTGCAATCGAGTGACCTTATTTAGGCCACATATGGCCTAAATAAGCTAAACCCCCCTCCCTTACCTTATTTAGGCCACACCTGTGGCCTAAATAA